GGAGCAAGAAGCTACTAGGGGCTCCTGGCCTTACCACTAGGAGCAAGGACGCTACTAGGGGCTCCACTGTCTTGCAAGTGAGGCTGATGTGGGGGGGGTTCTGTGCCTCATCCGTATTGCTTTGGTGAGATCGACATGTGCAACCTCAGGTCGACCATTTCTCCAGTGTTTTGCTACGGTGTGCCAGTGGCAGGGGTTAATGCTAGGTGTTGTTTCACAATCGACATGTCTCATATTTGCTGGCCAACAACACCGACAACGACGGCAGCAACAAAAAGAGAACCCACGTCATTGGTTTTAAAAGAGACACCTACGATCACCTACACATTTACACTTACGAAGTTCTTTTTTTCCGTTGGCCCACATTGCCCTCGGATCTCAATGAAGCCCTCCCTAGGACGGCCGCACGCCACTCTTCATCGCCGCCGAGAGTAACCACCCAGTGGTGGCCATGATGCTCTTAGAGGCCGGAGCTGAGAAGCAATATCATAAATACATAGTTTATCAGAAATAAAGTGAGTAAACACATGTAAAAACTATATATATATATAAATATATATATATTTCCTTTTTAAGACCGGGGGAAGGCGTAGCTAGGTAGCTAGTAGAAGCTAGATAGCTACTGTAGTAGAAGCTAGGTAGCTAGTAGCTTAAGTAGCTACTACTTAGGACGCAGGATAGCTCGCGCTTCTTCCAGGCGGAGGGTGGAAGCTTCCTTGAAGAAGCGCTCGCACTAATGATTCGGTTCCTAGATTCTTTTTCAGGGAAGCTTAACTAGGGAGTAAGCTGCATTTCAACAAAGTTCTTAGAGGCCGGTGCTGAGCAAGATCGTGCCACTGAAGATGGCCGAACACCGTTGTGTCTGGGCAGGTTTCATTGGACGTGACATTGTGAAGGTCGTTTGATACCATACATCTGCGGATCAACAGCTATGGCTATTGCTTCAAGACCACATTCACTTATTGCCCAACAGGTGAACAGTTGCCGTGTTGGGTTGCGGGGGCAAGTGTTCTCGACACACACACACACACGTGCATGGAAAACAGCAGCGTTGCCTTGCTGACCAGAGGTTTCCGGGATTGGCCTGCTGCCTTGCCACCCCAATGACTAAAGTCCAATAGCTGTGTTTAGCGCTTGTGCCCACGCCTTCGTGATGGATATCGCTTGTCAGTTGTTTTGGACTGATGTCTAATTTGATTTCACACAGTTTTGATTGGGGGTGGGCTCTGGTTGTGCTGATTTTGAACATTAGATTGAGAAAGGACAGAAAGCCAAAGGGTGCCCCAAGTCTAGGAGCCATTTTTGTTTAAAGCCCGCTCCTACTTAATTAAGTAGGCGCCTACTCAATTAAGGAAGTGAGTAAGCTACTAGGTTAAGTTAGCTACTACACATGGACGCAGGATAGCTCATGCTTCTTCCTTGAAGAAGCGCTCGCACTATTCACATTCGGTTCTAAAAAGTGCATGGTATGTGGCTTCATGGGCCCAGGAGCGTTATTGAGGTACCCCCCTAAAATGTCCCTTTACAGGTGAAGTCTCATAGGTCTTGTATCCAGAGTCAACGTCCGTTTTCTTGGCAAGCTACATGACTGCAGATGATAATGCCAAGCAAGCTGAATCGACAAGAGATAAGTGCTAATCAGACTTTAAATAGAACATGGCCATGCTCAGATCGAGCTCTTGTCAAAGTTGTATTTTCTTTGCTGATTTGCGTGCACTTCATTCATCGCTGACAATTGACCAGGAGAAAGCAGAAGCCGATGCACATTCGCATTATTCTATATTATATAGATTAATAAATGCTAATTTAAGTGGGATGCGGGTAACCCGCCGTGGACGCTAAAGATTGACTCGTTGGCTGCGGTTGCCAATCCTTATGGGACGGGTGTTCTTGTCGCTTGCAAAGGATAGGCAGCTTTTGCAACCTTATCGTGCCGGCATTGGAATCACCTCGTAGGAGTTAGCAAATAGCGGCGCCTTTTATTGTTTCACTGGGGGCTTTCTTCCTTTGTGGATTTATGATAAGACTGACAAGATTGCAAATCCATATGATTTTGACTCTCTCGAAGCTCGAATTCCACCAGCGGAGGCAAAGGGTCGATATCTGGACAATACTATGCAGTGTCAATTGTACTCGCGTTGCAAGAAACAGGCACATCCCCGTTAGAACGACCAGGTTTTCATGCCGTCGGACTCTCCCGAACGCGAACATGGAAGTCCAGCTTGTTTCTAGCTCATTGTAATAGCTAGCTTATTCAAGAACCGTCAGAAAACAGAGCAACATGTAAAAAATCAGCCGACGCATGCAACTAAACATCTAGGACCTGTAAAGGAGGCTATCCTGCTCCCGCCCCTCACAGCCCTTCCACATTGTGCACACACACACACACTTCGATAATGGGTTTGCAGTTAACTCAATTCCCAGGTCGCGTTAGCACTTTACGAAAAAATGGACGCAAACGGAAAGGCGGCTGGGTCGGTGGAAGTGAAGGTGTTTAACATAAAGGTTTGCGTGACTGCAGACTCTAGTTACTGAATACGTAGCCGATCGAATTAGCGTGAAGGAAACCTGTTTTGGGATCTATCATGAGAACAACCATGGCAACAAAAAACAGCGGCGAAGGGTCGAGTGTTGTCAACTCGCAGGTACACAGTGGAGCGTCCTCCACTGCATCAGCACCGACTGGCACCCTCTTCGTTGGACGGGCGGTGCCAGTGGTGTCCCGTCCCCCCTGCGTTTTAAAACTCTTGGAAACAGAGTGTGGCACACACACACACACTGGGGTGCTAGAGGGAAGATATGTTACCGCTCAGACCACATATAGAATGTCAGAATACGTGCCCGAAGATGTGCAGGACCGCACTCTGTACAGGTCCTGGATGTTTTGTTCCTACAACATGTTCCTACAAGAGAGTGTCCCACAAGAGTGTCCCACAAGAGTGTCCTACAAGAGTGTCCCACAAGAGT